ATCAGCGATCCGATGGACTGCCATAGACTAATAGACATGCATTTTTCATATAATTATTAAAATCTATAATCTAAACGATTTTTTTTTCCTGCCAGCCTGTTATTCACTTAAATACGATAAAAAGAGTTCTCTATTTCATTCTAGTCTTTTGGCATCAGCCTTTTTGACGTGAAATGCAAAGAAATTAATATGCATATTTATATGTATACGAAAATTTCTATTATTAAGAAATTCATCTTCTAGAATAAAACATGAGATTCTCATTATTGCTAATTATCTACTTGAGACAATTGGTTTTGTTCCTCAAAAAATTGTCTCCGTTTGCTGAAGGTACCAGAATATTCCGTGTTGTCAATTTGACCAGGATTGGTTTAAGGTGGGCCAATTTTCCAATTGCTATGACAAGATGTAATTTGGTCATAAATGTATGGCGGTTTCCTTTACTCTGTTCCGTATGCATTGGAAGATTTTAGTGTTTACTTAGCACAGCAACATCACTTGGGTTTTGTTTCGCTGAGTTAGCAAATTTACCGAATGCCTAATCCTTATCCACCCTTTCAACCCCCCTCCCCATCCTTAAATCCCCAAAAAACCATGAAGGGCCGGCAATGCACTTTTAGTAACTCCTTTGGTATTACGAGTGTCCATGGCGGCGTCGATTGCTTACCATCAGGTAATCCGTCTGCTAGTTCGCCGACATTTACTATAAAAAAAACAGCAACGACATCATCAGTCCAATGTCGGACGATAGGAATCATCTACATAAGACATAGGTTGCCATAATGTCCACAGGGGCTTGGATGCGCAAATTTAAAGGTTCTAGTTTATCAGGGAGTGCTGTTACCCGTTTCAGTCAAGTCAGTCTCAGGGTCCTTAGTCAATTTTTATAACATCCGCCAGAAGCATCCAGTATCATCCTGCTCGGAACAACCTTTAATTTTTGATTCGAAGTGTATTGTTGTTCTGTGTCCGTGTGTGATGTAAATATATGACATTGTATGTTTATAAACGTACCCACGCAGGAGAAAGAAAATCCAAAAGTGGTACCTATTCATTATTTTGACGACATATTCGTTTTCCTTACATACAATACTAAACATTAATTTATATTGTGACAATAAACAATCAATGTGAAACGGGAAGGAAAAACGCATTCCTTGAACTATTTATTTTAGCCTGGTGGTATTAATGTTTTCTAGTTCTAGCTTATTGGAAAATCCGATTTAAAATTATTTATTTCTTTAATTATCTGCATAGTAATAATAATATGCAAACATTACGTAAGAATTTAAGTAGAACAAATTAATGAATAGGTTTAATAAATAAAGCTGAAAATCGATTAATATTTGTCGATAAAACTCATTAACTGCAATTGGATTAATTTTTACATATCATTACATAATTCCATTTTAAATTATTCATTGTTTCAAAACTTACGTAAAGTCTCTCCATACCTTTCTTTTTACCATGTTCGGTTTGCTTATAAAAAAAAACCTAGGAACAATGTAATGGCTAACCAGGAAGTGTAAAATAACTGGATATCTAGAATGATTTATTGAAATGCGACCTGTTTGTGGTCGATGTAGCCTTGACTTACAGTCTTACTTATACTTAACAGTACAGTTTAGTTTACAGTTATATGGTGTTATAAAGAAATTATGGTAGCTGTCAGTTCTGACTTGTTATTTGCTCCATTATTATATAAAATGTAGAAGACAATATTTCTACATTATCATTTAAGTGTGGAAGAACCATGCTTCGGCACGAATGGGTCGGCCGACCGGAATGGCACCACTAACCTTACACAAGACCGGCGTCAAACAACCACAATGTTGCTTCGTCGTGTGAGTGAGGTTACCGGAGACCTAACACTTCATCATCATCAACCTGTAGGTGCCCACTGCTGAGCAAAGGCCTCTTCTCATACGGACAAGATTAGAGCATTAATCACCACGCTTGTTCCATGCAGGTTCGCGATTTCAAACTTATAATTAGAAATTATGAATCCAGGTTTCCTCACGATGTTTACCTTCACCGTATGTCAGTGGTATCTAAATAATCATAGAAGGTTCATATAACTCGGAAAAAATCACGTTGGTACTTGCCAGGTTTCGAACCCTCATGCATGAGAAGCGGGCTCCTTAACCTCCGGGCTACCACGACATTAACTAACCTAACACTTCCCGTCCCTCTAAATCCGAAACTCTTATCTCCAAAGGGTCGCACAAAGCACTAAAGCACTCACAACACCTCTAATTTCCTGAAATCAACAAAAGCTACGCCATTCTAAATAAAAAATATGAATATTGGGATTATCGCAGACCTTTATATCTGCATATAGTTATTACCTTATCATCTTCAAAACATTAATGATCCACCATTCGCAAAACTCCTAAGTTCTATTTCTACCCAAATCGGTCCCACGGGACTCCAAAAGGCCTCATCAATCCAGCGAATCAAATTGCGTATCATATTTGCAGGATATTATTTGCATCCTACATTTTCTCCTGCATCCTATGCCGTCAGCTGTAATTTATTTTATTGGACAATTGTTGACGGGTGTAATGGAATCATAGGACCCTTCTTGGGGTCAGGTAGTGACCTTGACAGGTGTGATGTCGAAACATGTGACCTCTGTTATTGTGTTAAGGTCTTCCAATAGATTGAAATGCCATGTTGAATAGTTTTCGGGATATGGTTTTAAAGTTTTGCTTTTACTTATCTTAGAGATTGTGTGCCTGCTCTCTATAAAGCTGTTTATTGTATCAGTCTATATAAGAATCTATGGTAGTCAGGCTCAGAAATCAGCTAAGCTAAGTTATTCTAAAAGCCTTAAAATATATCTTCAACCAAATTTTCTGTTTGCTTTCCCTATGGAAGTTTGTTCAGGGTCTTTAAGGATAGTAAATATGCCTTTTTTGTGACGAGAAAATCATCACATGACTTTTCCCACCCTCGTCAGACTCTTACTGACTAACCCCTTTCTCCCAATTCCTTCTCCTGCTCTAGTCCAAGGTCGCGATGCCTTATTGCACTTGCCCTGCAACACCGGCAATGGGATTATTAAACATAGAAAATGAAAACTTAAATGAATGTTGCAATTGATTTAAACTCCTGACGTTGGCTGAACACAGACTGATGTCATAACCACAGAATGAAAAGCTCAGCAATATATATTTATAGATTGACAACGTTGAACATGACACAGTGGCTATAGTAGCCGGTGCCATTGTTTTGCAAATGTGGCCTATTGTCGAGGGCATACTGTTTGCATTTGTTGCAAAAATAACGATTTGACCACGAGGCTGATCAAAGGTTATAATGTACACCGCTGATGTGGCTGGTCCTATTCACACAATGAGGACAGAAATACTATTGTTATTGTACAAACTAGATAAATTTATGTTACTTCATTTTTGCTATGTTAAGTATCAACCTGTTCAGCCGGGGTTGCGGAGCTAGAGCGATATGGTACCGCGGCCTCGGCCTAGAGCAGGTGAAGGAACGAGAGGGTTTTTAGGAAGTAGGAGTCTTGCACTTCCTGTCGCCTCATCATGGGCGAGAGGAAACATCTGAAACATCATCCCCTCACAATAAAGTATCAGTCTTTAAGTGCCCACTGCTGAACAAAGGCGTCTTGTCACAAGGACAGAGTTAAAAAAGGAAAACAACGTCAGGAATCCTGGACTTATAATTTCGTATTATAAGTTTGAAACCGCCAGTCCGCCTTGAGCAAGTATTGGGATTAATGCTCAAACCTTCTCAGTGTCAGAAGAGTCCTTTGCTCTGCAGTAGGCATTTAAAGGCTGATGAAGTATTCTGTTGTGATATATTTCATTATTACCTCCAATGTTGTTGGTTTTAACGTCGTTGACGTAATACATTGTTAATTCCAAATACAAAGTCAATGACCGTTTGTATTAATTGAATTCGATATGCAAATTATAGTAACTGTAGTTGTCTGATGTGTAACTACGCAATTTAGAGCACCTACATACCATTTGTTTTTATTTCATTCATCATTATATTTTACATGTCATTGTATATAAAATACCAAACCAGTTGGTTATATATACGCTATCCTCTCTTTAGTTTGTAAGGATGAATGTTACTATTTAACACAGAAACTGCTGAACGGATTTTGATGAAACTAAGGACAGATATATATTAAAGTGTACAATAATACATGAGCTACACGATTCAAAGTCAAAGTCAAAATCATTTATTCCAACTAAAGCATTAATAGGTGCTTTTGAAACGTCAAAATAGAACAGTAGTATGCCAGTCTGTTCGTCAGTGAAGCTAGATGCTCATTCCAAATTTTAGATTCGAATGGAGAAGAACGAGCAAGAAACTCCATTCCTTGAACGAAACCGTTAACAGAAGTTAGGCTTATTATATCCCACTAATATTATAAATGTGAAGGTTTGTGAGAATATATGGATGATGTCTGTTATTCTTTCACTTAAAAACGACTGGACTGATTTGGTTGAAATTTAGTATGTGGCCAGGTGGATAACACATACGCAAATTTTTAGCAAAATACAACGGTAGCGTAGCAATTCTTTTCATAAATGCACATGTTTGACCCCGTGTATTATGCTCTGTAGCACACGTGTTCATAAAAACAGCATTCAGGTCTCGATTGTGGTCCTAACGTCACTTGTCACGTGTTTGGTCCTTCAGGCCACGACTCACGCTTGTCGCCTACGTCACACATTGTGACAGTGGAACTGGATAGCACTATTGTATCAGACAATCGGCATCCGCCTCTCGAAACGGTCTTGTTGACCGTTGATTTTATAACCTTAGAATTTGTACTTCGTTATCGTTTTGTTTGTCTGTTTTTGGAAGATGAATAGTTTTTCCAAGGGTATGTCTTTGACGATCAGATTTCTTGGTACAATGACTTTAGCAATAGTTGAATGGTCTTCGAAAATCTTCTTCGTTTCTTTAACAAAATTTCGGCTTGATTTAATGTTGTTTTGTTTTTGTTTCAGGTTTGCCATGTCGACTTCCAATTGTTGAAGTTACTTCGTCAGCATACCGACCAAAATGACCATCCAACCATTTAGAAGGAAGTCGTATAAAGTTTTAAGCACGTACCTCAACACGTAAAAAAGCTTTAAAGGACCACAGACTAAAAAAAAAACAATTTATTTAATTTTTAAGTAGTGCAATTTTGTTCCTGTTATTTTATTTACCGAGTGATATTAGTTTTATAATAGTGTAGTGTTGTGCCATTGTCGATAGTTTATTTGTCGATAAGTGAAGATGTATAAGAAAATGTGGTGTGTTTTTATTGCGATACTTGGTGTGGCTGCGGGGATGGACAGAAGCCATTTACCGCCAACCTGCTCTAGGTAAGCATTTTATAATCATCTCTATAATAATTATTGTAACTAGGTGTTAATAATTGTAGATATTTTTTATTTTGAGGATGGTAATCATCGAATGATTTCTCCAGCCTTGGGTGGGGTGAGAAGGCGTATCAAAGTCTTGCCTAAATAGAAACTTCCCCGTTCTTTCTCCTGCTTCGAGCTGGAGCCGCGGTACATTGATGTGCTTGACCCGCAACCCCATCAACATTAGCCCTGTCCAAAGCCCATCTGTAGTGGTCTATTGGCTCTTAATTTCTAATTTGTTTGTTGCATGTATTTTGGTTCTTATGCTTGAATAATAGATTCTATTTTAAAGTGTTAAAATGGAGTCGGTTAAAGATAGTGAAAGACAGTAGAACTAGTCTAGGTCTAGGTATCAACGATAGAGCATCTTGGACGCATATCAAGTAGATCTGGGCTGGACACGTTGCCGTTGCCGGAAGCGCGTAATAATCTATTGTATAGTTAGCAGAGCATAACTTTATACATATAACAAAAAATAAATTAACCGGTGCTTTTAGAAATAGATATGATCACTTGAATTTCTTACTTCGCTAGTTCTATTTTTAGAGTTCTTATAGTGAGTACATACGGTGTTCTCATTTTATGTTATGTGCTTAGAGGGCCCCCTTAGTGTCCTCAGTGAGGACCCATGTAGTCCCAGTCAGGATTAGGCCTCCGGTAACATCACTTACATGGCGAAACACAACGCTGTAGTTGTTTCATGCCTCTTATTTTGTTTGAGGTGCTGGAGTAGCTAGTGCTAGGAGTACCTAGATAGAAAAGCGCTTGGGTATCACTCCGAGACCTCAATCAAAATCACTGTTTACTCCAGTCGAGCCGACCCATTCGTGCCGTAACTTGGCTCTCCCACACTTGAAGTTTTCATTGCAAAGACCAGTTTTGGAGCCATTACTGCAATGTCTCCAGAATTAGTCTATTTAATGACCTTTGTTCTTTGTAGATTCTAAGAAAGTTGGAAGAAGGCTACTGATATCACAGCCTGTAGTTAAATACTAACTAGATAAAAAAATATTCATCACATAGGCTAGATCTTGTTATTGGCTATTAGCCATGGATCAAGGGAACGCGTGCGGGATGCTTGTCGGAAGTATAAGCATGCAGCCTTGTCGTGACTGTGATTACTACTTCTACTATTTGTAATAATAATGTAAGATTACTAGCAGTTTTTTTTAAACGTTCTCCTCACTTGGTTTTTCTCCTCTGTCGTGGGTGCGTTTACAAACATACAATTTCACATACATATCACACCCACATCTGGAACAACAATTTATGGATCACACAAAGTGTGGTTTCGTGTGGGAATCAAAACCGCGACACGTTGCGCGACATCCAGTTGCGCAGGCACTAAGCCAACCATGCAGTCAGCTGCTTCATCCCTGTGGTCAAACAAAAAAATTAAATATAATAAGTAATCTTAAATGAAAACGAATAGCAAAATGTGTTGGTATGCGCATAACTCAAAAACGGCCGGTCCAATTTCGCCAATTCTTATTTTGTGTGCATTGTAGCCAGGAGATGACTTTTCTGAAAGATAATTAGAGGAAAGTAGAAGTAGGAGAAAGGAAAGTAAAAGTAGAAAATCGCAAATAAAAAATGAACAAATTTCGAAAATTCCTAATCCCTAACCTAGCTTACAAACCCGAAACCTCGTTACCGGCTCGACAAACAACGTAATTATGCAAATTGATCTTTTGTTGTTGTTTCAATTAAGCGAATGACGTCATCGTTATTCAAATTATATATGTATGCATCATAATGTATTTTCTCAACTATCTAATAACCTATCAAACTGTATGTACGTATGTATGTACCTCATCCAACCAGTTGCGTTGTTTGTTTGTTTACAAATCGTTTTCTCACGTGAAATGCAAATCATTGTATCTGTACTATGTCGTAAACAAATGCTAGTCAACTTTACAGTTCTTTCGAACTTTTCCATCCAATCACGTCTTTTAAAATAAGAATATCGATAATTTCTCCCAATTTTATACTCCTATTTTCTTTGATAAGAACCTTCTCCTGGCTTAATAATTAATACAACAAAAAAGAACCGGCACAATTGGTCCAGGCGTTGTTGAATTATGCGCTCACCATCAAACTTTGCGATTCATTTTTATAATATCCTAACCTAATCTTAAGCCTTATTTAGATTCTTGCATTAGCTTACTTAAACGGGGTTAATGATGTTAGAAAGTACGAATAGGTAATTATTGTAAAACGTGTTTTCTAGGCTTTCAGTTTCAGCCGGGGTATGTTGTAATCCCGTATCTACTCCGGAGCTGGCTGGTTTTTAGTCAGTAAGAATCTGACAATCCCTCTTACTCCACCAAGGGCGGGAGAAGTCATTATTGATGATATTACTCCCTCAAAAAGTTTGAGAGTTCGCTTTGAGCTGGCCGCGGTAAATCATAGCGCTAACACCCGCAATCCCATTATATATCTATACTAATATTATAAAGAGGTAAATTTTGTAAGTTTGTATGTAGGGGATAATCTTTGAGACCACTGGTCGGATTTCCAAAATTCTTTCACTAATTGATAGCTGCAATGTTCCCGAGTGCTATAGGCTATAAAACATCACGCTACAATCAAATGGAGACGAGCAGCGAGTGTAACCGTGCGGGAGTAGCTAGTATTTAATATTATAGTGAAATATCAATCGAATCAACCCTTTAACCACCGCGGTCGGGTCTAACTAACCCCTGACGTACAGAGCAAATATTTTATTGCCAAATAACAAGACAAGACCTTTTTTGCAATTTTGGATAAAGCAATTTTAATTTTTTAGATTGAAACACTAATAAAAATATTTCCTTCATAAAAAAATAGTATTATAACCTTCTTGAATTGAATTGAATTGAAGTCGACTGTTCATTCTCCAAGCTGTTCTAAGAATAGAACGAACTGACACAGTGTCAGCTGATTGTCAATCCGTTTATTGTAAAAGGACACGCTAGTGTCGAGTGGCCACAAGATACATACTTCGTTAACATGTGGCCTGTCCATTATAATGTTGCTAAGCGTTATTGTTTAGAAGTTAAGGTGTATTTTTGCACGATACATTTTGTAGCTTTTTAAGTGATTCGCAAAGGGTAAAATGGATTTCTCCCTAATACTAAGACTTCGCTGTCTTTCCGCCGTTCTATCTAACAGTCACCACAATGTATCTCGTTAATCGTGATATCTGGACAGTTGACATTTGGACAGATGATTTATTTCTTCGACTGTTACAATAACAACAAGTAAAAACGAAATTAAATGATATTTAAGAGGCTCTTATAAAACAAACGAATTTAAAACAAAAACCATCATCTTCGAATCCGACTCGAATTACACAAGCATATTTTGGGCAAATATCCTAAAAGCCATCCCTTTTGTAGTCATTTTGTACATACTTACACCCGGTTTCTGAAAGGCTTGTCAACGCTAAAATTAACTAATCTCCTGTTAAATCCCTTGTCAAGTCATCTGATTGGTTGTTGATAATTCAGTCAACCAATCAGATGACTTGACAAGAGATGAAATTGATTTTAACATTGATCGACCTTTCGGAAACCGGTTGTTAGTATTTCATCAGTGATCCATCCAAGTAGTGATTCACAGGACCACCATGATAGAGGGGTGGACAGTACCACCCTTGTTCCTGTTGGTATCGCAATAATCAATTAAGAAAATTTTGTTGATTAATTATTGCACGGTTGGCGCGGTGGCTGGGCAACTGGCTGCCGCGCAACGTGATCCACTAATTGTTGTTCCAAGTCTGGGTGTGATGTGTATATTAAATTGTATGTTTGTAAAGGAGCCGAAAAAAGATGTTTCTTAAAAAAAAAACACATTTAATAGAAACCGCATCCTTTTGAACTGCTTGACAAGAGTGGAGATTATTGCAAACCCTTCATTTGTCAAGAAGACCCTTAGGCTAATAGTAACCTCACTCAGGCAGTTGAAGTGTTGATCCATTTTTCTCTGTTATTAAAAGAAGTTTAACTAGCACAAGTAGTTTTCATTGCATGATAGACGAGGTGGCTGAGCAATGCACGGAACGATTCCATATGTGATCCACTAATTGATGTTCCGGGTCTACGTGTGATGTGTATGTGAAAGTGTATCTTTGTAAACACACACACACTAGGTACACTTGAAGAAATCCTTTCGTGGCTAGGCTGTCTTTAAAAAAAAGAAGTTATTAAATTAAAGACAAAATAAAAAAAGTAAACAACAAACCGTAGTAAAGATAAAAATAACATTCTATTCATTTAAGTATGGACCATTAACATTTGTAATTGTTCGTGACAGATAAAATTGCTGAAGATATTATGAATCTTATCTACGGTGATATAAAGATCAGAGTATTCCAAGACGTTATTTATTTAAAGACAAATAGTCACCTGACTGTTATCTCTTGTAATTTATACGCTTTCAGGTAATTTTATTCAAGTTCCGAGTCATAGTCAAATTCGGATGAAGTGTTGGACGTAACATGAAGTTTTTTATGTGAAAATTAACCAAATTAGCTAGTGGATTACCTGATGGTAAGCAATCGGTGTCGCTCATGGACACCTGAAACACCAAAGAAGTTAGGAGTCTGTTGCCGGACTATTGGGGATTAGGGTTTTGAGGACGGATGGAGGAGAGGCAGGATTGGGCCTTCAGTAACCTTATTCACACGGCGAAACACAACGCTGTGGTTGTTTCACGCCAGAGGCCGTGCCATCAGCTCGGTTGAGCTGAACCATTTTTTATTACTTAAGTATGGCTTGACAGAAAACTATTAAAGACAAATCCTCTATAACTAGACCATGGCGATTAATGTATTGAAAAAATCCTTTGAAATTTTTGTCTGGGTTAAGTAAATGAATATTAAAGAACACGAATGAGCCGGATATACATAACTAGCTTTCGTGCATTAGAAGTAGTTTTTTATGTTTCTGTGCTCGTGGTCTCATACTAAAAAAATTTGTTCAACGACCTTTCAATAAAATGATCGTAAAATTCCTAATCCAAATCCAAACTAACATTATAAATTCGAAAGTAACTCTGTCTGTCTATCTTTTCTTCACGCCTAAACTACTGAACCGATTTCTGTGAAATTTGGTAGAGACATAGTTTGGAACACGAGAAAGGACATAGAAAAGTTTTTGTACAAAAAATCTGCCAGGAAGTCACTTTTCTTAAAGCTAGTATTTTGCTATATCTGAGTATAAAATGTTACAGTCTTATAGAAAAACCTTAATAGGAAGAGATTAATGATGATAAAGAACACTACAATGCTAATGTTAGAGGCAAATAAATCTGATTACATTGTTATGAAATAATTTGATAATCACAAGAACAGGGTGGTTTTTAGTCAGTAAGAGTCTGACACTCCTTTTCTGAGTAAAAGAAGTTTATATTTAGTGAAGTTTTTGATAATTTTCCCCTATGAAAATAGAAACGTAATAATGTACCGTGGGCACGGCTCAGAGCAGGAGAAGGATTAGGGTTTTTAAGTCAGAAAGAGTTTGAAAACTCCGGCCACCGTAAGCGCGGGTTTGCGGTGCGTAGGGGTAGCTCCCCGCCCGACCAGAACCAAACCCGAGCGTACGACGCGTAGCGTTCCGCGCGCGCCTCAAAGAGCCAATAGACCACCACAGACGGGGCCCTATAGTGCTGATGTTCAGCCGGGGTTGCTAATTAAGCGCAATGAGTCACAGCAGCCTCGACCCTGAGCAGGAGAAGGAACGGGGTTTTTTTTAGTCAGTAAGAGTCTGGCACTCTCTCTCGCCTAACCCTGGGCGGGAGAAGTCATTTGATGATTTTCCCCTGACAAAAAAGGGTTCTCCCACCCTGGATGAGGCAAAAGGAAATGTTAGACTATGTCTCACTAAAACCCATCCCTTTATTTCTCCTATTACGAACCTGACCGGTATATCATTGCGGTTGAGCAGCAAACAAAACAATACATTTACAACTTATCTCTGAATTTAAATGCTCAAACAACATTTTCATATTTTCAGCAATATCTACTGTCATGGCCCTCTTCTGGACACGGTGCAGATGGCGGGGCTGTACAATGACTCCAAGACCTTCGTTGACATGAAACTCAAGCTCTCCGCTAACATCACCATGGATCATTTCCACGAAATGATGGCCAGGTATACACTTGCTTACACTTATAATAACTTACGGTTTACAGTTCTGTTCTTTAGAGACCTTAATAAGGCCTCAAGTGCCACATTATTGAATTGCTAAAATGCACTTTGGCATTAATGCCTCAAAGTTTGATTTCATATGGAGGTTAAAACAAATACGACGATTCGAAAGTGTGATTGGTTTATTTTGTATTTGATGCCAAAATACTTAAAGAGAGGATCATGGAATCATCTTAACTGTTTAGGCTAACAGAAGAAAAATTAAAGTTTCTTAAGATAAATATTCCAGCATAGAGTATAATCGTTATATTCCTTCAGGACAGGTTCACATCCGACCAAAGCTGACATCCAGGAGTTCGTCAATCAGAACTTTGACCCCGAAGGCTCTGAGTTCGAGGACTGGAGACCTACAGACTGGAAGGATAATCCTGGTAAGCTTATAAATCCTTTTTAACTGTCGAATTTGGCATTAACACTCTCGTTGATAACTAAAATTAGTGGCTACACCACCTTTCAAAGTTTTCTTTGATCAGATAATATCTTAAAGATTAACTATTGACTGTTTAAGAGAATTTGAGAATGTTTTATTGCATCGATCATGTTTTAATTGCATCACCTAAAGGTTGGATAGCAAGCAATGCTTGTTGCATAAGGCCACGGCTGCGCTACGGCAAAACCAACCGTTTTTAAACGTGTAACAATTTATTATTATTAAATAAAACAAGACTAACTAAACCGCAAATGTGTCTTGTATTCTATTTCTTATTTCACATAATTATGCGGATAAAAACCGCTAGTGCGGCCGTGGTCTAAAGCCCACATATAAACATATATCTTGCAAAAAAAAAATTAATAAAATAATTTCTCAGCGTAGTATTTCTTCTATAGTCTTGAATTCTTCGAATAAGTATATTGTAATATTCGTCACTAATAATTGTCTACAAGTCGTTAAGCGTAACACCAAGTGTGGTAGACCCAATTTCGGTACTAATGGGTCGGCTCGACCGGAGTGATACCACGGTCTTACAGAAAACCGACGTGAAACAACCACAGCGTTGTGTTTCGCCATGTCAGTCACGTTACCTGAGGCCCAATCCTTACATATCCAAAAGCCTTATCCCCAAAAGGCCTGCTACGCACTCTAACTTCTTTGGTGGTACGGGAGACCATGGGCGGCGCCGATTGCTTACCATCAGGTTATCCGTCTGCTCGTTAGCCGAACTATCCCAAAAAAAATGGCATGTTCTAGCAAAAATATATTTTTATTCCGGAATAAATTGCAAAGCAAAACTAGTAAGTATTTGCTTTTCATTATAATCGTTTAATGATGTTTATTTTCTGTCGCCTACGTATTCTGCGTGTTATTTGAACAATTGGCTTTTTTTAACCTTATAATGTTTGAACGACATTGGTGTGTTTCTTCAGTCCTTGGTTACTTATATTGGCAGAGTGGTCCAATACCGACTTTTTGAGCTTGAGTTCTTGTGAAAAGTTATTGCCTGCCATTAGTATGGTGAAAAGACTAATGTTTTTCAAAGTTCTATAAAAGTCTTAAAAATACGTGTGGAGTTACGCAGTTGTTCATATCAAAATTGATTTTAAAAATGAAAACAAAAGCGGGTCGTTTGCAGTTTTGTAAATAATATAAAAAATGACTGCGAGACCACAAATATCAAAAATTATTTATTCCAACGAAACCATACCAAACGTACCTGCCATAATTGAAACGTTTAAATAGAATAAGTAATCTGTAAAGCTATGCTTATTTATATTCACATAAATATTTATAGCAATAAACAAACATTAAGTTCTTTACATAATTATATTCTTTCATAATATTTTCAGCGTTTCTCCAAAATATCAAGGATCCACTGCTGCACGAATGGGCAGCCGACCTGAACCGCTTGTGGCTGCAGTTGGGCAGAAAGATGAAGCCCGATGTGAAGGAGAACCAGGATCTGTACTCCATCATATACGTGGACAACCCTGTGATTGTGCCTGGTGAGTCTTTCTTTCTTTACCAAGGAGGCCATGTAGCCGAAGAAATTGAAGAAGATGTTGATCCTCTGTGGAAAATTTCTTCTATTTATTTCCAATGTTCCGGGTCTGGGTCTGATGTGTATGTAAAAAATTTATATAGGAGAAAATCCTAGTTAGCAACGTAGAATTTTATTAAATTTCCTGCTTGCTTCTTGCACCAGTCTCTGCATTGCCAAACACTTAAGGTCATTCTGGTAAACCTCCACCTTGGTCCACCTTGTGTACATTTTCTTTTGCATGCAGCCGTAAATCTATATCTATACTAATATTATAAATGCGAAAGTAACTCTATCTGTCTGTCTTTTCTTCACGCGTAAACTACGGAACCGATTTCTGTGAAATTTTGACCAAACACAGTTTGGAACTCGAGAAAGGACATAGCATAGTTTTTATCCCAAAAATCTGCAGAAAGTCACTATTCCACGCGAAAGGTGTCGTGTGCAAAAGCTAGTATATTATATATCCTTTTAACTGCTAATAACAGACAGTATCATATAATTTTAATGAAAAGGGTAGTATTTGGATTTGCCTATTGACCTATATAAAACAACGTGGAAAAAAATGGCCAAAAGGGGCACATAACCAAGAAATTATTCCATGTTACAGGTGGTCGTTTCCGTGAATTCTATTACTGGGACTCCTACTGGATCATCAAAGGTTTACTGCTGTCTGAGATGAGGTCCACCGCCAGGGGCATGGTCTCCAACTTCATGGATATCGTGGAAAGGATCGGCTTCATACCTAACGGGGGCAGGATATACTATGCTATGAGGTGTGTTAAGAGAGTGCTTTTGAATTTTTTGTTTTAAATTAGTTTCCAAGTTTTGAGTTAAAATATTTGTGGATTTCCCGCCAATGCTACTGATTTATATTTTGAAATATTGTGTCTATTTTTACGCCAACAAATCACTGTTTATTTTGTGAGAAATTACAGTTTTAACGTCGTGTTGGATCGAGAACTTGACAACTACCTATGTGACTTTTTCCGAGTTATAATTATGTATATTACTTTCTAAGTTAATTAAGACACCACTGACATATTGTGAAGGAAAACATCGTCAGAAATCCTGGACTATATTTCTAACTCTATTTTTATTTATGTGATACGTCGGCAAACGGGCAAACGGATTACCTGATGGTAAGCAGTCAGCGTCGCCCATGGACACCCGCAACGACGGGGGAGTTACGAGTGCGTTGTCGACCTTTTGGGGATTAGGGATTTGGAGATTTTGGGAAAGGGAACGGATTGAGGTAGGGGAAGGATTGGGCCTCCGGTAACCTCACTCACACGGCGAAACACAACTCTTTGGTTATTTCACGCCGGTTTTCTGTGAGGCCGTGGTATCGCTCCGATCGAGCCGACTCATTCGTGCCGAAGCATGGCTCTCCCACACTTGAAACTTAACTATAAGTTTCAAGTCCGCCTTGAGCAAGCGTGGTGTTTAATGCACAAACCTTCTTCATGTGAGAAGATGCCTATATTCAGAATAAGGTCCCTAGAGATAGGATGGTGATATGATGTTTTAAAATATAAATATATTCGCTTTTTAGATCTCAACCTCCCCTCCTAATTCCGATGGTGAAGCTAATATTGGATGACATGGATGACATCGAGTTCCTTAGACAACACATTCATACTTTGGATAGAGAGTATGATTACTGGATGACGAACCATACTGTTGAGGTCCACCATAACGGCCACAGGTGAGTGGAAAAGATATTTTACTTCTTACTGATATTATAAATGTGTAAGTTATGATGTTTGGATGTTTGTTACTCAATCAGGCCAAAACGGCTGGACGGATCTGGATAAAATTTGACACAGGCGTCGCGTAGGATACATTCTGGAATAGGACAAAGGCTACTTTTTATCAACATACCACTCGGGCGGAAGCTAGTTTGTTTTATTATAATATTTTGCTTTGATTGTGAAATGGGATTGCTAAGGATGAATTCGTAAGTTAAAAAACTCTAATACTGATAGCCAAAAATGACTAAATTCGGTAGTTTCCTAATTCAAAAAGAATTTGTTTAAGCTTAAAAATATAACAAATAGCTAGTCTCGCGCGGTTTCACCCGCTGCTCGGCTCCATTTAATAATGGCGTGATGTTTTATAGCCTATAGCACTCAGGAACATTGTAGCTATCTATCAGTGAAATAATTTTGGAAATCCGATCAGCGGTTCCAAAGATTACCCCCTACATACAAACTTACAACTTACAAATTTTACCTCTTTATAATATTAGTATAGATATGTACTTACTTAATAATAATCACATCATTACTAATTAATTTTGCGATATCTTTATATTCGTTTTTTTATAATATTTAATGGAAATATGTATGGTTGGTATCAGTGGTGGAAATCACATTTCCCGGAGATTTGGTAGGCATAAATTACGGGGGATAAAATCCAAATAAAGACGCCTATTAATTATAAAACTTTAATCATTTAACTTTGATCAGAAGTCATTTGATGATTTTCCCCTGACAAAAAATCCGATATTCACTTGAAAAAAATGTGAAATTGTTATGTCAATTATCACTGTGCGTCGGCTAGATCGATCTATCATCACAATGTCAGGTTTGTTGGTTGCAATTGTCCTATCAGTGATGATATTCGATCCCAATACAGTGTGACATCCATTTTCAAGAACTGGGACAAGCAGATCCTTACATACAGTACTGCACATTAGATTTAACGTTATTATTATTATTTTGTATGTTCTTTCCTTTCACGGGATCGTAGGACCTTTTGCCGAAGCCAACTCACAGTGGCCCGTTGAACAGTTTTAATCTAAATGTGATGGGACATTATTATTATATCCCAGCTCATTCCGAAATAATTACCCAGGATCTTGTATTAAAATTAAATATTTTCGCGTTTCAGATACACTCTGGCGAGGTACTTCGATCAATCACAAGGACCCAGACCTGAGAGTTACAAAGAAGACGTTGATGTTGCCAGGTAATTAAAACTGAACCTTAAACTTGGTTAGTTAAAGTTTACAATGTAATTTAACAGCCTTCAGTAAATTCAAATTTTCTTGCTCGTATGAAGAAAGCAGCGTTTTGGTCGCCTGCAAAAATCTGATTGTAATATTGTAGTGCCTCTCTACCCAATCCCTAAGTTTTCTTAAACCCTTATCTCCAAAATTGTTGTAACGTCGTGGTGGCCCGTCAATTATGGCATCATCTTCTCCTGCGTGACCAATGTGAACCATGACCATAACGTCCTTCATAGAGAAAAATACACCTGTTCAGGAGCATTTTGTATTTATTTTTGCCCTTGAGCTTAGAATATGTTTTACTACAATACTAATAACAAATAAATAAGTTAATATTAATTTTACAGACATTTTGACACGAATGACAAGAAAGAAGAATTATACGCTGAGTTGAAAGCTGCCGCTGAATCTGGGTGGGACTTCTCATCTAGGTGGTTCATTCTTAATGGCACCAACAAAGGTTAGAAAGAGACATACGTATTTTTATTAGTTATCTCTTTAAATACATGTAATATTTCTTGTTGCTTTTTATATTCAGCCAAATATTTGCAAATAGCTTCTCTATTCGGACAGATAGAGTTTAGACCGACAGACTGACACATAAAGTTGAACTTTTTAATATGTATGTTTTGTTTGACGTTCAAAAAATAGTCGTTTATTTGACTTGATTTTTTATATTTTTTTACAATGAAATCTCAAATTCTCTTCAGTTACAATTTATTGCTTTTCAAAAGTCAAAGTATGTTCAGGCAATCACAGAACAGTTATATTAGCCATAGTAGTGGTCACATAGTAGTGGTTTTCTAAATATTTTGAGTTTTTGTAAAATAAATTAAACCATTCATCCAATAAGACTAAAAGACACGTATGATATTAAACCAATATTTTTTTCTTATCGGATCTTTTATGAAGTTGCGTGCTATTTAATAAAAGTAATCTTCAATATATTTTTATCCATATGTGTCCAGAATATCTTCAACCAACGTTCGATCTCTCAATAAATGGATACAGTCAAGTTGGTGGTATGTTCTGCTAGACCCCTCGTGTGGACCCTATGTGTGAACGTTATAGACCCATTATAATATAGCCAGACCCCATTCAATGACACCCACATTGAATAACCATTATACAAGTATGGTTTTTGGACTTAGAAACCATAATAATTCTCTTAATCATTGTTTTACAAAGAATTTTAATTTAAAATTGAATATTTTTTTATTTAGTTTGATTAGTAAGTAAATCATCTCATTAGATGAGTAGTATTACTGTCCTATTCTTTAATTAACAATTGCAAGTAATATAACCGAACGTAATTGAGGAATGTAGCATGTTACATTATCAAGAACATAATAATTATTTTTTCATTATACTTTTTTCTAAAACATAAATTTTGTATATTTTTAATTTGAAGTCCTTTCGCTTTATAATTTCATATTTGATTTTTTAAGCAGGGAAACCTATTATTGCCTGTACAGTACTGTAATTTGCACATTCTGTAATATATCACATGTAACGCTGTTGTTTTTATAAATAAATAAAATAAATAAGTAATAAAAATACATTTCCATTTTCCAAATTTTCGTAAACGAAGTTTACATTTATTGTTACACATAATTCTGTATATCTTACAACGTTAAAAATATGGTATATTAGTATGGGTGTATGTAACCCACTTTGTTTTATTCTATGTAGTTATTAAATAAGTAATAAATTACGATCATATGATCATCATCGTTTACCTCCTTCATCTCTCACCCCCAAAAAAAGAACAAAATTTCTATAAAATCAAACCATAAGACCTAAACATCACCTGTATAAAATTCTAGGTAACCTAACGAACCTGAAAACGCGGTCTATCATCCCAGTAGACCTGAATGCCATCATGTGTTGGAACGCCCAGCTTCTCCGAGATTTCCACACCAGACTCGGAAATGTCGATAAGGCAGAATATTACAGAAACGTTCACGCTAGATTCATGGATGCTATTGAACAGGTAACTATACATCAGTGCTATTATTAATTCAGTTTTAATGAGTCCAATTACGGAATATTTGGAAGGCAAAAAATCTTCAGTGCTTTTAGTTATTAAGTATATGGTAAACCGGCATAAAACAACCACAGCGTTGTGTTTCGCCGTGTGTGGTTACCGGAGGCCCAATCCTTCCCCTTCCCCAATCCCTAAATGTCCAAATCTTAAATCCCTAAAAAGTCGGCAACGCACTCGTAACTACTGCGTTGCTGTGTGTCCACTTTCCATGGTCAGCGCTGATTGCTTATGAACAGGTTATCCGGCTGCTCGTTTGCCGACCTATTACGTTTAAAAAAATGGCGTAACTGGCTACAATTTCGCCTTTTGTTAAGAGTTGTAAAAAACCTAAGGTTGAAGGAAGGAAGGTTGCTTTAGAGGAACTTATTTATTCTTGAATAGTCACTATGGTAATACATACCTACTAAATTCTTTGAGAATAACAACTTACTCACGTAGAAATAAGAGTCCCGTTGTCTTGAAACTATGGTCTATCAGTTTTAGTAGTTAATTAAGGGTAAACAATCTTTATCAATTTAGTTCTAGGAAAATATCTCATTGTAAACATTTTAACGTATAATTTTTAGACAACTTTGACAAAATACTTGCCAATAATGTTTACATTTAGTAGATTAGTCACATTCGCTTATTCACGTGACTACTTATTTATTTATGGCACTACAAATTCAATATCTCATAAGTTACTGTTTGGATAAATTACTTATATCATTTATTTGAATTTTCCGCAGGTGCTCTGGCACGAAGATGTGGGTGTCTGGCTGGACTACAGCCTGGAGTCTGGCAGACGTCGGGATTACTTCTACCCCTCCAACGTGTCGCCGCTGTGGGCAGTCTGCTACGACCAGGCGAGGAAGGATTACTACGTGAACCGCGTCGTCAATTATTTGGATAAAGTTAAGGTAAGCAAAAATGTCTTAAAAACATATTTTTTTAAAAACCTATATTGTTTTTTTGTTTAATTTAACTCTTATGCTCAACATGTAAGGGTTCATTTTACAATAACCGAGATAGAAATAATTAAATTTTCATAATTTCCTTCAAATAATCATAAAATCTCGTAATTACCCGCTAATTAACCCATATTTATGATAATTACTTAAGATAATAACGAGTTGCGTCACTTCGCTTATACTGAACGGTAATTTCGACGGTTTACTCAAGTGACTCCGTGGCGCAACGGTAGCGCGTCTGACTCCAGATCAGAAGGTTGCGTGTTCAAATCACGTCGGGGTCAAACTGTTCTTTTTGTTGTTTTCATTATTGTTTTACTTTTTTATATTTTTCGTGTATTTTATATATTTATTATTGGTAATAATTATTTATTTCAAATAATTTTCTTAAAAATTTAATTCCAGTGTAAGACAGTATTTTGTATTATTTGCACTCATTTAATAGATAGATAACTCGTAATTGCATACTCAATATATTTATTGCATTCCACAATGTGAACTTAGGTGGTAGGGTACATAAGGATTTACATACTTATATTAGTTTAGGAGCATTGTGGGCCCTGTCGGGCATAACAATATTAGTATTTTTTATGAGGAGGGCTAGTATTCATATGTTTATTTTTATAATTAAACTGAAAAGAATATCAGCATAAACGAATATAAGTAAATAAGTAAGCATAAAATAATTATAATACAACGTTGTACCTACATATCTAACTAGCTATCTAGTCATTTTTTATTTATAATTATATCTTTAAAGAAATATTTATTTATAATAATAGAAAAGCAAACAATGTTTATTTTTTACTAAAATTTAATCATTGAATAAGAATTTTATATTCGAAAAAAAAAAATACTTAGGTAGTACAATAAGTTGTTAACAAGAGTTCAAGAAAGCATATACATTTAGATGATGAGTGGCGGTAATAGATACCTATAATTACATTTAAATAAAATTATATGTACAAAAGAGCTGCATCTGCCAACAAACTGCTTTTACAGTTTGGCACAAGTACCGGGTAAGTTCGGGTTACTTTGACCCTGCGGGGTAACTTTGATCCAAACCCTTTAACCAATAATTACTGAGAACCAAACATATATTCGTTTTTCATTGGTTCGAAAATTTGGATCAAAGTTACCTCCCAGGGTCAAAGTAACCCGAACTTACGGTATTTTTTTTTTTGTAAACTTACTGCAATTATTATGAATAAACGCTTTTTTCATTTTACCTTTCGTTACACAACAAATTATGGTTAGAAAATGGTATAGTACATAAACTTCGCAGCTAGCAGAAAAAAATATTTACGTATACGAGTATTATAACAGATCATCTTTATTACATGGGTGTCTTCAAGGCCCGAGTGAATAGGTTGCGGCGACATAGTGGCCAGATACCGACCTTTTACTAATTACAAGAAATAAGCACTTATATTTTTTTTTTCTTTTACAGGTAGACATATTCGACGGAGGCATACCAACGACGTTCGAGCACTCGGGAGAACAATGGGACTATCCGAATGCCTGGCCACCTCTACAGTACATTGTGGTTATGGGTCTGGCGAACACTGGCCAGCCAGAAGCCGTGCGTCTGGCCAGTGAGATCGCCACTAAATGGGTCAGGTCGAATTTCGAAGTTTGGAAACAGAAGACTGCTATGCTTGAAAAGGTATCAATAAAATAACTATTATATATATTGGCTTATTTACGTATGGTAATAGAATTTTTTTATTGTATCTGGCGGTAAATGAATATATATATATATTTTTTTTTGAAAAAACCTTTGCTCCACTCTAGGATTTTCTCCTGTGTCGTGGATGCGTTTACAAACATACAAATTCACATACACAACACACCCAGACCTGAGACAACGATTTGTGGATCACACAGTTGGATGTAGGATGGTTGTTCCGTGCGGGAATTAAACTCGCGACACGTTGCACAGCAGCCAGTTGCCCAGCCACTGCGCAAACCGTGCAGTCATATTAAAAATAATAAATCATTTATTTGCCAGAAATATGATGATAAAAAAGATTTCGGTTCTGTAGAAAGCACATAACATATTTCACCCTCATTTTGGGCATGCAAAATATCACTTAATCTTAACATCATTAGTGCAGAGACGAGGATTAGAACTAGTTAATTTTATCTTGGATAAGAAAAAACAGAACAGGCGTATTACCTGACGCAATTGGCGCCGTTCTTGGACACTCGCTACACCTGAAGAGTTATAGAGATTAGATCGAGTTTTGGAGATTATGAGTAAAGGGAACGATTGGGACTCCAGTAAATTCACTCACACGGCGAAACACAACGCTGTGGTTGTTTCACGCCGGTATTCTGTGAGGTTGTGATCGAGCCGGGCCTTCCGTACCGAAGCATGGCTCTCCCACACTTGTATATAGAACTAGGAAATCGACTGCAAAAAATAAATCTTTCAGTGGTATTATATTTGTCTTTATGTACTTGTCGTGCATGATACTTTTGTCTTTTTCAGAAAAGGGAAACTAGGGTTCACGGTCATTTATTTTCATCTATTGTAGCTGTCCTAACTTTGTTTTTTTATTGATTTTTTATGATATTTCAGTAATAAAGTTTTAAAAAACTATCTCATTAAACTAGGACATCTGTGACTGCAATATAAACTTTAGGATTCTAACAATAAAATCCATTTTACAGTACGACGCGACGATATTCGGTGGTCTCGGCGGTGGTGGCGAGTATGTTGTACAAACAGGCTTCGGATGGACCAATGGCGTTATAATGGCTATGTTGAACCGATGGGGAGGTAAGCTATTATGTGCTTTGTGAATTTTGGTGTAAGGTTTAGTTTAGCTTAAGCAAATGTCAGTCATTAACAGTAACAATGAAGTATTAATAATAATGGGTTCGATTCCTGTATTATAAAAAACCTTAAGCACTATTAAACACAAGCTACATTAATCCATTTGTGCTTTAACTCAATAAAATCTCCATTTCCATTCACGTGTAAGAGGAAGAGAGAGAAAGGAACAAATGAACGAATGAAATGAATGAATGGGAAGAGTGAATGAACTCATTCACTTAATCATTTATAACAACATGACGTCACATTGTGTTGCCGCTTAATTAATGTTATATTTTTTTGTTCATCGTTCATTCATTCACCGTGGAAGTTGGTGACATAGGTACGTCGTTCATTCTTTTGTGTGTTGTATTTGTATTGTAAATACATGTATTGTATTTATGTATTTATATGCGTTGTTGGTTATATTTGGGCTTAATTTGTATTTTTATGACATTATTTTTGCATTTATTCAGCTTATTGCAAGTTTAATATATGGTTGGTGTATTTCTAATTTACACTTTACATAATTTATATTTTTATTTTGACATAGAAATGTTTAGAAATGGATTTCGTATAATATTATTTATTGTCGCTTATGAATTGTATACTTTAATTTTGTATAATCTAATATGTTAAATTTCAGCTCTAATTGTATTTTTTTCGCACTTGTAAAAGTATTTTTTTAGAAACTTGACCACCTTAAGTAAAGCACAGATTTTTGTAATTTTCACAGCATACTATTCTTAGCTCAATCTATTCATTTTATTACACGAAAATTTTCGATGTATTCATTCGAAAGGTGCATTTAAAAAATATTCTTTAAAAACCAAAGAACAACAACTTGTGGTTTACACAAAGAGTTGTTACGTGTAGGAATCGACCACGTAACACATTAAACAACAACCGGTTGAACAGTCATCGCGTCAACATACTCTTACATCCGGTTTCCGAAAGGCCGATCAATGTTAAAATCAATTTAATCTATTGTCAAGTCATCTGATTGGTTGACTGGATTATCAATAACCAATCAGATGACTTGACAAGAGATTACTTAATTTTAGCGTTGGCAAGCCTTTCAGAAACCGGGCGTAATTCTATTTCGACGTTTCAAAAGTACCTATTTATGGTTAAGTTGGAATAAATGATTATAATTATAATTTTGAATTTATTAAATTAGCAACACAAGTAATATTTTTTATTTTTCATGTTCAAAAGATTTGGCTAAAACATTATGCTTTAAGAATGTTTTTTTTTTTTAATTTAGTTATGTTTAATGTTTTACACTGCATGCGCTGGTGGGCGATTCTAGTTGACGCAAGGGTTTTGTTATCTTTGGCAATTTTTTTATGGTACTATCTAACATTGGTATAGAGGTATACTTTTTTTAAAAATAATTCGCTTTGGTTGTAGTATTCTGTAGTATGTAATAATAACATTAGCTGGTGGATTTTAATTGGTTATTGAGAAGTTTTTTTTTATTTATCAAGTAGAGTGGTGTTATTGGTTGTATGAATTAGTTTTATGTTTTATTTTTTTCTAGTACTTTTGTAGTATACCTACGTATTTAGCACTTTACTTGACTACTGTCATTTAATTAATTTTCCTTCTCTTTTTTCTACTAAAAAAAAGATCCCGACGAATTGCGAACCTCCTCCTTTTTTTGAAGTCGGTTGAAAATACTTCGATAACTGATTATCCTAAGTTATATTAAAAGACTTCCACAATTATTTTCTCTTTATATTATAGATAACTTTTTCAGAAATAGTCTATATCACACTTACTTTCACTTTATACAGAAAATTACTTCAAAAAAATCCATTTCCGCTTTCTTCTTTACTCCAAAATAACTTCAAAGGTTCTAGGTATACATAGTAACAGAAAGCTACTTCAACAAAACCGTCTCAAACCTCTATCACTATTTCAACATAGTTCTAAAACTTCTTTAAACTTATCTATCCGTAACAAAGCTACAAAACCCGCGTATATACTAGATGAGCCTCCTGGTGCGCACGCGCTCACTGGTTGGCCATTTGACAGATACAATGACTTCAGCGGACGCGTTCGGTACGGGCGCCGCCGCCGACTCCGGGGCCGTGTACGGCGCTCACGTCGGCGCCAGCGGGGTCGCCACGGCCATTCTTGTTGTTCTGGCTTCTTTGGCAGCTGGGACTCTTGGGTGAGGTTAGTATCGGAGAGATTTGTACCTACTTATTTATTTATTGATCAAATTGGTACATTTTATATTTTACGACGTAAAAACACTCCGACATAAACTATACACATACATAGTTGGTCTGTCGGATCAAAATGTATTAATAATAAACCTATTATCTTACTAAGTTTACAATATATTTATATTCATATTACCTATTATAGGTAAGAAAGAAAGAAAAGAAAGAAAAATTATTTATTTGCACCGCAAAAATTAAAAACAGATAAATTAGGTACAACTTATATGGAGAGTATGCACGGCGCAAAAAGGCCAAGTGCTCAGCTAAAGTGCCGTGACCCGAGATTATAAATCGCGTCGCGGCGCTGATTTTCAGCACTAGCCAGTCAAACTAGCTTTAGACTGGCCTTAGTTATCCCTGATACAAGACCACAATCATAACAGCTTCATATAAAGTCCATTTTAAATTTAAAGGCTTGATTTACTACTTACGTCTGAATAGCCACAGCAGTGATTGGACAAACTGATCTTTGACTATGACAAAATCAGCGCCACCTTGCGAGCGTGTGAAAAATAAAATTGGGAACCCTATTGGTGGGTTGAGAATTGCGACTTTAATACGTTAATTAGAGAAACGCAGATCTAAAAGCGTATTTTCTATTGTGTTCTATAGCGCAGACAAAAGTTTTAATAAAGACCTTTATAAAGCGCTAAAATAATCCTGAACGAGATGGTTTTCAGTCAGTAAAAGTCTGGCACAACGACGGAAGGTATCGTGCTATCCAGGGCGGACGAATCCCATCTTCTTTATATCACGATGACAAAAGGGCAGAAGCATTACCTGATGGTAAGCAATCGGCGTCGCCCATAGATACCTGCAACAGCATAGGAGATAAAGGTGCGTTGCCGGCATTTTGGGGATTGGTTTTGCGGATTTAGAAATTGGGGAGGGAGGATAGGCCTCATTTACATGGCGACAGTTAACGCTATAGTGGTATCACGCCGGTTTTCTCTGAGGCCGATTTATCACTCCGGTCGAGCTGGCCTATTAGTGCCGAAGCATGGCAGGCCCACATATCCACCTTAACAAACAAAGTCTATTAAAACCCAGTGATTAAAATTAATGACCTTGAAATAGAAAATATTTACAACTATTAACTAATTGAATTTTTTTCTTTTGTTTCAGATATTGTTTACATTAATACTATTGTCACAAAGTTACCCAGTTCGTCGCGAGGCCCGATAAAAGTAAGATCCTTCCATTTTCCCTTAATTATCTTTAGTTCTGTAGATATTATATTAGTCTAACTATTGATATGACTTATGTTGAGGAAAGTACAATTTATTTTGATATTTATTTACATATACATAAGACATAATTACGTTTGTTTTTGATATAACTACCTACAATAGTATATTCGAAAAAAAAAGACTATATATTTTTTCTAATATCAACGTCATACGTAGTCAAATCATTTGTTTAAAAAAGACGAATCAAGGCACAGTAAAGCTCTACTATTTTCAAGTCACTACGGGACTCTTATTTATGTTACGGATTGAAACTTATAGAGCTATTCTCAGTTAATTCATGTGAGTAAGTTATTATTTTCAACATATTACTATTTACTTGTAAATATGTGTGTTCTTATGTCTTATTACATTCGTTGAGCGTAAAATAATAATTAATTATGCTTTTGGTACTGTTTAAAAGTATAACTTTTGTCTCTAAAAATATTTTGGTACTAATAACATTCCTTAAAAATGTGATATTTTTATGTTTAAATTGTAAATTGACAGTATTTTAGACATATTTTGTTTAATTATTTATTTATAAAACTGTTCAAATATACACACTTATTCTAACTATAGATACATTACTTATTATTTTAGTTTTTAATAATATAGTGATATTAGTTTTAAAATATATTTAATTCTCTCATAATAAAATAATATTAAAATATTAGATGAAAACAACATTATTTTAGTTTATTTTTAGTGCAGATATTTTATTGAATAACACATAAGATAAAAAATATATACAACAATCTTAAACAATAATTATTTAATAAGCGTCTTTCTACCATAAAATAAAATAAAAACTTTTTTAAGTATTAATTTATACCTTACTACCGACCCGCCCACACTTTGCACGTGTGCAATGCTGATACTAAATTTTTCCACTATTTAATTAATGTTATCTATACTAATATTATAAAGAGGTAAAATTTTTAAGTTTGTATGTAGGGGGTAATCTTTGGAACCGCTGGTCGGATTGCCAAAATTATTTACTCTTTACTGATAGATAGCTACAATGTTCCTGAGTGCTATAGGCTATAAAACCTCACGCAACGATCAAATGGAGCCGAGCAGCGGGTGGAACACCGCGAGAGTAGCTAGTTATACATATAAGCCTTCCTTTTCAATTGCTCCATATATAAAAAAATCCACCAGTTTATTTTATAATACGTAGTAATGTGTAGGTACTTATAAAAAAAATACCTACTTGGAATATAAAGAATGATATGCCTGGTGATTAAAGCTCCAGTCTTCTCCGTGTGAAAAGAAGTATTTGCTCAGCAGTGGGAACTTATAGGCTGATTTTTGATTTTTTTTATGTAATTGGTCGGCAATCGAGCAGACGCGTTTCCTGATGGTAAGCAATCAGCGCCGCCCATGGACACCCGCAACGGAGGAGTTACGAGTGCGTTCCGACCTTTTAGGGATTAGGGATTTGGAGATTTAGGGATTGAGGAGGGATTGGGGGTGGGGAAGGTTTAGGCCTCCGGCTTGATGATGTATGATGTACTTTAAAACAAGACCAGAAGAGAGTATGTCTACAATATTGTCTATTTACCTAGTTCTACAATAGTAGAAGTAATTTGTAAGATAGGATATCCTCACATTGCATGACTTTATCAATCTATTTTGCTCTCTATTAACACGTTTCTTCATTCAATGCTTCCACGTACAGTTACAGTATTAAATTATTCTCTTTCATAGAGGCTTTTTTAAAACACAAATATTTTTTTTTTCACTTTTTACACAATTTTTTGTTATTATAACCAATTAGACAGATTTTACATAATAATATAAAAAGGTTTTTTAAAATTGTAAGGCCTTACAATTTAATTAAAAATATTTTTAATATTTTAATACAAATTAACAAAAAATATTATAAAAATCATTTTCAAATTCATTGCTCTTTTATAAGCTTTATAAATAAATAATAGGTTTACGTAAACAATATTATCGATGTTTTTACAATCGAAGTTCTTTATTATAGGTCAAAAGTCAAGGTATACTTTGAAAGTCAACCTTTTAGTTCAAAGTAACTGGCCCATAATCTCATCAACCAAGACCTTGCACGACTAAAGGACGGACGGACAGATTTACAGCGGGATGTCTGTTATTAGATGATATTTCTCGGTTGCAACTTCACACGACTTGCATCCTATTAGTTGTATACAAGAAATTGTAAATTCAACCGTAAAAGTATCAAGCCTTAAGGTTGAGAATTGCTTGCAGTTCTTTAGATCTTAAGGTAGATTTTTGCTTGTCTATATGAGAATTACTTCCGTAGATGTTTGCTGGTTATTGTGTAATTATATGATTTAAGTGTTGTAGTGTGATGGTAGAGTATATTCTTCCTCAAGAATAAGGAAATGCAAACATTTTTAGATGTTTTAAGATCTCCTAGTGCAGTCTATACTGTTCGTATGCTGATACGAAAGCTAATAATGATTTAATACAAAGACACCTAGTATGTGTTGTTAATTACAAAATATAGAAATTATACCACTGTAGCCATCTCGTGGCACTCATGTGTAAATAGTGGTCTATGGTCTTAACCTTAATTTTCTGCTCTGTGGTCTTTACTATAAACTGTTGTGTCTATGTTTTTTGAAATAAATTAGTCGTTCGTTATCCGCCATAACTGACTGTTTTTTTATAGTATGTATAGTTCTTTCCATAAATTAGAGACAACGATTTGACATTTCGAGTGTTGCAGGTTTTTTCCATTTCATAAATAGTGAAGTACCGCGACCGGTATTAACCGAAAAACAGAAAATCATTTGTAAAACTATTAACTATTAGCATTGATATAATGTAATTATTTTACAAGAAACTATGGTCAGCTTTGGCATTTCCTCACATAATTTAAACCTACAAATACGTTGGTATTGGTTTCTATAATTATAAAAATAATATCAGTCAGTCAGATTGTAATATCGCTCCCATCCGATCTCTGATCTTTTCATATTGCTCTGAGTTCATTTATTTGTGATAATCTTCAAGTCTTTTTTAGCTTCATATATTAATAACTAGGTACAATATACAATGTACAATATACTATAAAAACATCCCCGCTACTTTTTTTGTTTTGCTCAGGGTAATTTATAAAAAAAATCGGTATCGGTATTTTAAAACCTCGTACTCGGGTCATCACTATGTTTAAAAATCTGGCCACATTATTTTGTAGTTTGACATTTGCAGTTGTCAAATTGTTGTCTCTAATTATGGAATGAACTATAATCATATTTCTAATTGACGGCTGCCATTCACGAACTTGACATGTACAACATCACCAAAAAAAAAAACTTATTTATACAGAAAATCGACTAATCCAATCTCCTTGCTACCGCCAATGAGAATGTTGAGAGTTCGAATTTCAAAAAAAAACTATTATAACTAGCAGTCGCGTTCTCTGTCCTATGTATGCTTAAATCTTTAAAACTACACAAAGGATATTGATGCGGGTTTTTGTAATAGATAGATTGAGAGAAAAGCTTATATATATGTACATGAACATCGATTAAATAGTGGAGAAATTAAGTATCACCATTGCATCCATGTGGAGCCGTTTAATGAATGACGTCTCTATTATAAATAATATTTAAAAAATTGGATTTCATAATTACCGTTATTTACATGTATAATTTAACTTAGGGCTGATTTTTCAATGGTTAGATAAAAGTTACCTGGGGAATAATTATGATGCTGTCGCG